CAATGGTTGGGCTTCCATCATGGGGTCAGAAGACTAAGCTGAAGGACTCCAGGTGCTCACTCCACCCCCTCTGCCTGGCCCCTTTGGAGAGGCTCAGGGAGATATTACCTTTAGGCCTCTGATTTATTCTCTCCTAAAATCTCACCTCTCTCTCTCTCAAAAAAAAAAAAAAAAAAAACAGTAAAAGTGTCTTCCCAAGGCCATTTGCTAGAGGGACAGAGAGTTTTGGACAGCCTACTAGGTGGGTTCTTCTCCCATTATCCCTGACGCGAGGTGGGCAGAGCCTGAAGCTGGTGGACCCATTCCAAGCAGCTGGATGGACTCAGGTCTGAATCAGCTTGTTCCCTCATCCTGGGCTTGGGTTGACCTCAGTCCTATCTTTGTCTCTTGTTTCTGAGTCACCTCATTTTAATCATGCACATTTGGCCTCCGCACAAGACATCACATGAATTCTTTCTCAAGGTCACTTCATTCAGCCCAGCCCTGGATCCAGGCATTTAGGGCCCCAGATAAGTGGTGTTCATGCAGTCAATGGGATACCGGGAATCAGTTGGATTCGCCACCTTTGGACAATGCCAAAACGTAGACAGATGCTGCCCTTTCAGAGCAGGACTCTATCTCATGGCCAGGAGTGGGGAATTTCCCCCAAGGGAAGGAACAAGCAGGGCCAGGTAAGAAGAGGGTCCCTGACAACTAGGCTGAGAGTCTGGGACTTGTAGGGGCTCCAGCCCTTTCAGAGGATTTGAGCATTGGCCAATCTCCACACAGAGGCTAGTTTACACTCTGCTCCAGTATGGTGGGGATGAAAGGAAGTTCATGGACAGGCAGTAACTTGGTGATTGGTGGACACCCAGGCCCCAGCCTCCAATCCCATGGCCTAGGCCATGAGACTAGACTAGATATGCTAGTGGAGACTGGCCTTCTAACACATAGACCTGGGTGAGGTATAGGGGGCTGGGCCTGGGATTGAGTGTCCTTGGGGCTTCTGGCTGAGCAAAGAGAGGAAAGGATTGAGAGGTATGTGGACAGACACTCTTAAACACCCCTTGGTTCAGAAAATTAGCATCCTTTCTATGGAGTCTGGTGTAATGGATTAGCCAAACTCAGAGTTCCCAGGCTTGACATTGCATCTTGCTGGCAATGTCCCTGCCATTTCCTTTAGATTAAGTGTAGAGAAATGAGAGCATGATGATAAACACTGATTAACCACAGCCCTAGCAGGGGAGATAAGTTTCTCTTTCCGATCTCACTCTTGCTCCCTCCCTTCCTCTCTCCTCTCTCTCTCTTTCTGAAGAAGCGCTGCTCTTTGTCCTAACCTATGGAACGGTGGGTTAATTGGCTTATAGAGCTGCTGAATATGGAACAGAGCCCTAATGGAGATTTAATCAAAGGAGACAGTTGTGTCGAGTGAGGTGTAAAAGCCATTGAAGATGAATGGAGACGGATACAATTTTCCCCCCAGAGTTATTCAGAGCAATTTTAATAAAGTGCAAGTTTAACTATGGAATGGATTGTGTGACTAAGTGTCATTTTGCTGTAGGGCACAGCAGGGCAAGCAAGGGAAGGAGAACTTGGAAAGTCACTTCAAGAAGATGGAGCCTTTCCCCGCCTCAAACAATGGGCATAGGTCCAAAGTTCAATGCTCCCATCCAAGTTCACCTGTTGCCCAACGGCCCATCTGTGGGATTCATGTCACTGAAGTTTTCTGCATCTTCTGAGGCTTGTGACCAGCGATCTCAGTGGTTAGAGCAGAAGGTCTAGGTCACACCTATGATTTGTGGCGCCTATACCCAACCATTTGCCAGACCAGACACCTCTGCTTGGATCTCTGTGGTTTCCCCTTGCAACCCCCCTTCTCCTTCTTCAGTTCCTAGCTTGGCTCTCACTCTGGGTCTCTTAGATGCTCTTCCCTGCATTTCTCTAATGACCATGCAATTCCATAATTGTCTTTTTCGTATGTATCTATCACTCCCCCCCCCCCAGACTGTGAGTTTCCTGAGGCATTTATACATATATATATGAAATCCATTTACTGGGATTATCTTAGACAAGCTATTGTGCAAATTTGTTCATTACTCAGCAGTATGGCATGGACATCTTTCTATATCAATGCATGTGACTTTATAACAAGCTCTTTAACAGCTGCCCTATATTCCTTTGTATGGATGTCATATAAATATTTAACAAATCCCGTATCTTTTTCTGCTATAGGAGCATCATTGAAAGGAGCATTCTCTTACATATATGTTTTTGAAAAGTCATCCAATTAATTCCCTGATAAATTCCTGCAAGCAAATCACTGAGGTCAAAATTCTGATATATATATTTTCAAATCACCCTCCAAGAAAGGTAGAAAGATGTGCTAATGTATATTCCCACAAATGCTGAGGGTATCTCTTTCCCTAAACCCTTCCTAAGCATTGTCAGTCATGTTCATTTTGGCCAAACTGATGCGTAAAACTTGATGTCTCATTCGTGTTAAATTTGACAATTTAATATCCAAGAAAGATCCCGTCTAAGGAGATGATCTAACGGTAAGTTGGCAGGGCCTGAGGAATCCTAGAAGCCCATGTGGAAGAGAGAAAAACTAGCTGAGACTTTTCTTGGAGAAACTACCCAGGACAAGAGAGCTGGATCCCTAAACAAAGAGGTTAGCAGCCCAAACCGTCTATTCCAGGAGGTGTACTCAGATGTACTCTAATCGATGTAGTGTCATACCTAAGGAGTCTGGGTGAGTTTTCTAGATAGCAGCACTTTCTGGCATCTGACTGGCACCTAAGTTATAGATATGAAAGGGACATCTGAGTACTGTGAGGTCTAGCAGAAACAATACACAGGTCAGAAAGATGGATTAGAAGTAAGATATAAAGTGTGTAAGGTACAGACATAAAAGGCTTGAACAACCAGCCCTAAAGGTAAAATCAGAAACCAGGAAGCTGGACAAAAACCAGGTAAAATCAGAAACCAGGCAGTTAGACTCAATGCAAGCTAGTGAGCCTACTCTGATGCTTCCCTGAGCACCCAGCTGGCTAAACAACCCCTCTCCCATGGTCTGAGCACACCAGATCTAAGGGCAACGGATTATTGGAAGCCTACTGACTGATGGGCAAGGGGTTCCTGAGGGCCTTGCAGGCTGGGTCCTCACTGGCTCAAGGGCTGGGCAGATGGTGGAGCAACAGTTGATATGGACTATATTCTTGACAACCGGGTCTACCCAGCAAGGAGATAAACTTCCCTAGAAAATGTGTAGATGATTCCTTCCAACCAGGTCCTCTCTCAGTCTAGAGGTGGGAGTGAAAGTGGGAACAGTAGCATTCTCCTCACAGACCAGAGATGGGGAGTCTGATTCTTAAAGGAATGACTTTGCACTAATGCTATTCCCCCATTGATTGGCATGAAGTCCAGACCCTATTCCCTTGAGGAGATCTCAGTGAATGAAATCCAAGGAGGGTGTGGCCCACAAGGAAATGAGGCCAGCCCAGGGTCTCTGGCAATTCAGGCTGATGCTTGGGGCTCGATTCAGATGGTGGTCCCAAAACCACAACCATGAATCAATTCAAATGAGGCCCAAGCAGCCCTTACATTTAAGAGGTGAATGTGGGGTTTGGGAATTGAAGTAAAAAAGTCAGGGGCTGAGGAAACAAAGAACAAGAAACAAGAAGCAATTAGTGAGTTGAGGCCAGTGGGTTAAGAACTTTGCTTTCAACAAGACTGAGGTAACTAGAGTACCCTAGTATCTAGTATCTATACCCATGGTATAGGTCCCATGAGGCAAAGGAGTGTGGCCTAGCCTGACTTAAAGACTCAGACTTAGGAGGGTGTTTGCTGGGGTGCCTGGGTCCTTCAGTCGGTTAAGTGTCTGACTTTGGGTCAGGTCATGATCTCACGGTTCATGGGTTCAAGTCCCATGTCGGGCTCTGTGCTGACAGCTCAGAGCCTGGAGCCTGCTTCGAATTCTGTGTCTTCTTCTCTCTCTGCCTCTCCCTGCCTCAAGCATTTGTTTCTCTCTGTCTCGAAATAAATAAGCATTTTCTTTAAAAACATTTTTTTTAAAGGAGAGTGTTTGTTGCCTTTTTCTTCAGTGGCTGGGCCTGTAAGGCGGTGGCCAGCTCTTGGTGTGATGAGAGAAGAGGATGGCTAACTCCATTAGCTACAGTATTACCTGCAGGGCCACCAGCTCTCTCCTTTGTTATAGGTGGCACGTCAGTGTTCTCAGCTGTGTTGGGAAAGCTCGGTGAGGATGTTTCTTGGAGAAGTTTCTATCCCATTGCCTTTGCATGTGAAGTGGTCAGAATAACCCATCTTGCCTGATACCAGAATCTCAGAGACCTGCCTTCCAAAGGGCAGCAGCTTTAGCTGGAGAGTAAGGCCTGGGGCTTCTGAATGGAAGCATCACCTCCTACTCAAGGAAGTCCACTCACCGTCCACTGGGATCATGCTCCATTTGAACAGATCAGGGACTGTCCCCCAGATGCTGCATCTTGCTCTTGCCCCTGGTAGCTCCCTATTTCTAAATAGATATTGAAGCCAGGTTGTTTCCTTAATTTCCTCTCAGCCCAACAAGCTAGACTTAGCATCACAACCATAGTCACACACCTTTTTATGACTCTGTCTGTCCTTTGGCCAGCAGCTGAGCTGAGAGATAGCATGGCACAATGTTTAAGAGCACGTACTGTCAGCTAAGCTGCCTGGGTTCAAGTCCAGGCTCTGCCACTAGCAAACTATGTGATCACAGGCAAGCCATCTCTCTAGCCTCTTTTTGTGTGTCTCTGTGCTGTCAACTAAAATCTGTGGATAATAGTAAAAATAGCTCCTAGGTTTGTAAAGACTGAATTAGCATAACTAAAACCCTTTAGACAGTATAACTAGCAATATTGGCTATGATTATCCTTCTCTACCAGCACCTGGTCAAGGATTATGACTTTGGGTAACTAGGAAAAAGGCAAAAAACACCTGGGTATATCTCAGTCATTTATTTTGATGAAAGTAATTTATTCACTTTTAATATTCACTAGTACTTATAATGGTACCAGCTAGGATCTGCTCATGACCTACCATGTGTCAAGCACTGTATGATCTCACTTAATCCCCACAACAACCGTGTGAAACCTATGTTATTAGTCCCATTTGACAGATGCAGAAACTGAGGCTCAGAAAGGTTAGCCAGCTGGCCTTACACAGCAGTAAGCAGAGGAAGTCAGATTTCAGTGCATGTCTTATTGACTCTGAACTTGTACACAATTTTTGTTCTTTCAGCTCTTTTGTTCAAAGTAAAATGAGAAGAGTCCTGGAAAAAGATTAACTCCAGTCTGGGATTGTTTAGACATTGTAGCAGCCTCTGTTCTTTGTTTGTGTTTATTCCCTCCCTGTCCTTGTCACGCTGCTTTTGGCAGCCCTACTTCCTGCCCCTTTGACTTGAGGCTGAGCCATGTGACTTGCTTTGCCCACTGGTGTGCCAGCAGATCTGACTTACACCACGTGTGAGCAGAACGTTTCAGTGGGCTTGCTGGTTGACCTCTTTCTCTCTTGAGCTTCTGTTCTCTGCCATGAGGACAGCAGGCTGCAGATGGGAGCTGCCTCTTCTGCCAGGATCCTAGAGTAGAAAGAGACCCATGGAACTCAGCCAAGACCAACAGAACCCAGAAGAACCCAGCATAGCTACTGCTGACCGGGAGCCCTCATGTAATGTGAGCAGGAAATAAATGTTTGCTCGTGTAAGCCATTGGGATTTGGCAGGTGGCAGTGGAGGGTGTTGCCACAGCAAAAGCTGGCTAATACAGACATGGTCCCAGGGGCAGGGGGATAATCCAGGCAAGCTCCACTCCAATGGAATAGGCAAAAGAGAGGACAATCCAAGCTCCTTGCTTTGCAAAATAGTAACCCATTTGTAAAGATGGGCTTTACACCAATCCACTGCATTTTTTGCACATAACTGGTCATTGAAATATGTTCCCTAAATTAAAATCAAGACAATGAAGCCACAGAGGACTCAGGAGGGTGAGGGATGAAGTAGAAAATGGCCAAGGTCTTTTGAATGGTCCCTTCCATGGTGATAAAGTTCATGGGTGGCTGCAGCAGACGCAGAGAGCAAGCCCAAGTTGAAACTATGTTCCCTGGAGAAGAGTGACTCCATAGAATTGGCTTTTCTGCAGGGAGACAAGGGGTAAGCCAGGAGAGCCCACAGAACCTGTGGGTTGGGCTCCCACCATGCCCTGGAGGCTCATAGACTCAATGGGACCTCTCCCATTGACAGGTACAAAGTGAAGCTCTCAGTCACCCAGCAAGAGCAAAACTCAGGTATTTGGCCCTCTAAATCTTGGTCACAACTTGACGCTTAGCTGAAGGCTAGCACAAGTCAGTTTTATGGAGACCCCTGTGCACAGTTGCGTGGTAAAGGTAATTCTTTCTTTCTGCATTGTGCACAGAGACATTGGTAGTGTTTTGAGAGTGGGGTTGATGGGTTAGTGAAAGTCACTGCTGCCCAAACCCATGCCCAGAACTGCCCTTGACCTACAGATAACCCTCGGTGTTTCTCCCCCTACCCCTTCCAGGGACAGCTGGCTAAGGCCTTAGGATAGGACAGGGGGTTTCTGGGGTCTCTGTGAGAAGGAGAGAAAGGAAATGTGGGGCCACTTCATCAGGCTTCTTTTATTGGTCCTAGGCCAGCTGAGAGCCAGGAAAAAGGCTGCAAACAGCGGCTGAGGGTTTCCATGGCAACAGCAGGCAGCTCTGCTCTTTGGGCCTGGAGTTAGCAGAGAAGGCGGAGGTGGTGGGGGATGGAAGGGAGAGGAAAAGTCAGAGGAAGGGAAGAAGTCAGAGGAGCCTCAGAAGGGAAGGAGAGGAGGAAACGAAAGCAAGGAGAGGAGAAGGGAGCCTTATGGAGAGGAAGATGAAGGCAAAAAGAATAGGAGAGGAACATGAACAAAAGAAACAATGGGAATGGCTCTTGTCACCTCCCGCATGCCCTGAGGTGAGGGTGCCTACTACCTGGGACACTGTGAACCCTGCAGTGACCATGCAAAAGTCAAGGGACTCAAAGCTGGCTCAGCTTTACCTTATAAGAGCTGTCAGGTGGGAGAGCAAGAAGTTTCAAGAATGAATTTCCACATCTGGTAGACCCTGCCTCTGGCCACAGGAGCTTGAGAAAATTCCTTAACTTTTCTTTAAACTTCAGTTTCTGAATCTAAAAAGAAAAAAATGGAGATAATAACTGCCCCGATGAAGTTGTAAAAATTAAATAAGATAATGCACGTAAGGGCCTTGGTACAGTGTCTGGCACACAATAAGCACTTCATAAATACGTTCTATTATTTTCTAGTGTGACTTGGCCATCATTTAACTTCTCTGTGCCTCCTTCTCCTCATCTGTAAAACAGAAATAATCTCCACCTCAGAAGGTTTTCTAAGTGTATTATTGTAAGTGCTCAATAAATGTTAGCTATTAAAATTATCTTCTTAATAACAACAGTAAACATTATGTAATGCGTGGTCCTTTTATCAAAGCACATTCTCCATTGTTGCTTCATTTAACGCTTGAAGCAACCATGTGCAGTGGACAGAGTGGTCTCATTTTCCTTATTATACCTGTAGTTTAGCCATAAGCCCTGTGCTGACTGTGTTACACCCATCACCTCATTGAATTCTAAAAACAACCCTTCAACATAAGTAGCATCTCATTTGACAGTTGAGAAAGCAAGGCACCAAAGGGTAAAGGAAGTTGACTGCCACTTGCTAGGAGGTGTTGGAATTTGGACTTAAATGCAGAAAGCAGGCAGAGGTAACACAACTAATTTGAAACATTTCATTTAACTCAGCATTTCTGCTCCAAATGAACACTCGTGATTTGTGCTGTGACTCTGCAGAGCACAGTGGAAGGAAGAAGCCTGGGGTCTTTAGGGAGTCTGTTCCACGTAAGACAAGTCCTAGGACATACCCAGTGGGCCCTGGTCACTGGGAAGGGTGCCTGGGGACCTCCAACTGCTTGGTCTGGAGCCTGGAATGGGATGAGCACTCCTTAAACAACAAGAACAGCAAAAACAAAAACAAAACTATACACTGAGATTTCCCATCAAAATCAGACAAGGAACAAGGAAGTCCTTTCTGTGGATCTTCAAAGAGCCCTATTCAGGATCACGGAAGGAGGAAGCAAGGTAATTTAGATTTTACCCCTCTTTTTTTTTTTTTTTTTTTTTTTTTGAGGAAGGAGGCAAATTGAAGATGTTTCACTTTCCTTCTGATAAAATGTAAAATACCTTTGTGCTTGTTTTAAGAAATTGTGCGCATGTGTCTATTGAGGTGCTTCAATTCAGAGAGAAGAGAAGATGAGGGGAAAGGAGAGGAAGGGGGGAGGAAGAGAGGGAAGAGAGAAACTGGAGAAGAGAAGGAACAGGAAAGAAGGGGATGAACAGAAATAGAGAGACAAATAAACCACAGAAGAAAACAGAAAGACAGATGCCAAAAGACATGAGAGGAAGAAAATCAGTGTCAGAGAAAGAGAGAGAAAAGGAGCAGTGGAAAAGGAGTGGCAGCCAGGTAAACAGACTGTGACAGAAAAGCATCTAAAAGAGATGGGCAGATGGGCAGGGAAGCAGAGACACACTGAGGTAAAAAGACAGACACCAAAGGGAAGAGAGCAAGCCAGAGAAGAAACCTTATCTCCTTCTTGTCAGAAGAGAAACACATGTGTTCCATGAATGAAGACATGCATAAGGTTATGAACATACATTAGTGTTTGCAAAGCTGGGGAAAAGAAATCTCTCGCTCGCTCGCTCTCTCCCTATCTCCCTCCCTCTTTCTCCCCTTCTCTCCTGCCCTCCCCCATCTCCTCCTCTCCCTTCCTCTTCCCCTTTCTCCCTCTCTCCACTTCTCTCTCTCTTCCTTCTCTCTCTTCCCTCTCCCCCCAGCCCCCACTTACCTACTCCTCTTCAGGAGGGAGGGCTGAATCAGCTCTCTATATTCTAAAAAGCTATGCTCAGCCAGAATTTGTGATAAAGGTGTTTTAAATCAGAGCTAAAATTTGGCAGCACAAATGTTCTAGAAATTCTCATCTCATTGTGAAAATAAAGAAACCTTAATTTCATATTCTGGGGATTAAGATCATCGCATCTCATCTCTCAAAGAAATAGGCTTTTTATCGCCACAAATCATTCCTATTGCCACTAGCCTTTTAAAATATTGGTGTATGTTTACTGTGATGGTCCTCCTTCTGATATCGCCTCAGTTGGGGTAGACTCAGCGTTTGTTCAATGGGCATTTATTACACAGTACTAGGTGCAAGGCCTGGACTGAGCTGGGATGGATGCTCTGGGTAAACAGTAGGTCTTGCCTTGGCTACAGACCTTGTATTCATATCCTAGGCAAGGGTCAGATCAATACTCACTGCTTCCAGATAATCATACCAAGGTGACTTTGTTTGTGTTCCCCAAACTGTCCCCAAAGTCAATCAGGGAAGTGTGCTTCCCCAGGTAGGGTGAAGCTTGGTCTCATGGCACCGTTATACCTGTCCCTCTGTCCCAATGCCTTTGGTCAGTGGTAAAGGCAGGCATACTCAGAAGCCCTGGCATAAGCTCTGTAACTGTGCCCAGTTCTGCTGGGGCCAGTGAAGCTGTGGGAGATGAGGCGGAGGGCAGAATTTCTGGGAGTAGCTTTAATATGCATTTGTATTGCACAGAGAGCGTTCCTTATGTAGTGGCCACTGAAGACACCCTACCCACCCTGGAGGTCACTTGTGGATAGTTCCCTTACACAAAGCTCCTGGCTTTGCACACCTCTCAGCCTGAGGATGTTCTCTGGAGACCAAAGAGTGAACGTCTGGGAGGTGAAGCCCCAGGAGTAACCCTCAAGCAGTGAAACATAGGAGATCATGAATAAACAACCCAGTTGGAAAATTCCAAGAAATGTTCTAGATAATTTCTCAGAGAGTCCCCAACAGGGCTGAGCCCCAGTTTGCCACAGTGAGAACCAACTCATAAACTCACCCTTGGCTGGTTTTACTCTCCGCATTGTCTCTCCCTTCCACCCCTTCACTGTCCTCTTGGAGATCAACAGGCAAATAAACTTTTTGTATCTAAAACCCTATTTCAGGGAGGTCCAAACTAAAACATCCTTCTATTAACTAATTCAGTCATCCCAACAACAATGTAGAGGTGAGCATCATTACCCTCAGTATTAGAATCCATTATTCAAACACTGAAATTATTATTTGCCAAGGACTGTCGAGGCACTGGCACACATGCATGGTCCTGCCCTCAGGGGGCTTGTACTCTACACTGAAAGCAGATGCTAAACAAATAATCATATAAATAAATTAAAATCATTATTGTGGCAAGTGCTCCCAGTGAGAAGTGTCTGGGTTCTAAGAATGTAAACTAGGCATATATGAATAAATTGAGGTCAGAGAAGTCCTCCCTGTAGAAGTGACTCTTTGGTTGAGATCAAAAAGAGGAGTTGAATCTAACTAGGGAAAATAGGAAGGGAAAATATTTAGAGCAACAAGAATAAGTTGAGTGAATAATGAAGCTGAGGCAAACAGAAGATAAGATCACACACATAGGAAGTGTTTAGAAGAGGGTTTGATTTCAGACCTATCTGACTGCAATGTCCAAGCTCTTTATGTCAGATTCAACAGCTGGAATGGAGATGGGTGTCTAGGACAGGGAGGTGACTCATTACTCTCATTATTCATATTAAGAAAGGATTAACTACAAGCTCCCTTTAAATAGAAAACTCCCATGGGGCATTTAATGATTAACTCAATCACAAAAGAGGGAATTACAAACTTACCTAAAAGTATCTGTTGGGTATAAAAGGGAAATATCTGAAAATATACAGAGTGGATGCTCTGAAACCACTGAGAGGTTAGGCATCTTTCCAAGTCTATTTCACAGCACCAAGGTAGCTGCAGCTTTTGCAGGAAGACCAGGGGAGGAGAGTGAGGTTTCCCCAAGTGGCTGACAGATTGAAAGGGAGTGATCTCTGGGTGTCCAGGCTCACAGGTCTTCGTTCAAAGCAGAAATCCAAAGAGTGTACCGCTAAGGGAAAGTAACACTCTGGAATGGGGGGGAGTGGCATTCTTATTTCTGGTTGGTATGCAAATTATATGTAAAAGACCTCTAACTTCCATGGTAACAACCAGGAAAAACGAACAAAAACTACTATGAAATATCAACGAGCAGGAGATGCAAGGAAGCTTTGACAAATTAAATTCCAGAGAGGAATGAGCCCTTCCTCGGTGAGTGTAAAGTAATGACAACTTCCACACCTTAGTGCAAGAAATCTAGGAATCTGGGAAGAGCCCCAAACATAAATATCAGTCACTTGTCTCATTTAGGAATTTTGCTGAGTAGCCACCAGAGAAAATGTAGCTGGAAAGTAGAGAAATTTGTCCAGCCTTGTTTCTTAGACTTTGCAGCCTTGCTGGACTCAATTTAACCCCAAAGTGATTCAAATCTATTTGAATCTGAAGCACAACTCTCTCTCCAATAAAATTCTGAAATCTCAAAGAGATCAACTCTTGGTCAAGGTCAATGTCAAGGATTCAGATGAAAGGCAAAAAGGAAATAACAAACAAATATATATATATATATATATATATATATACACAAAAACCATACCTTAGTGTCCACTGTTTTTATATGCAACATTCTGGCACAAATAAAACAATTACAAGATATGTGAAAAGCAGAGAAATGTGACACATAATCAAGAGAAAAACAGTCAGTAGAAGCAGACTCACAGAAGACCAATACATTGGAATTGGCAATCAAAGACTTTAAAGAACTATTATAAACAGAGACTTTGGTAGGAAAAAACATAAACAAAATACATGAAGAAAAGTATAATATCAGGAAAGAGGTAGAAATTCTAAAAATTTAAAAATTAGAAAGAACAAAGTAGAAATTATAGATCTAAAAATTTATTTATTTGAAATGAAAAGTTCATCTTATGGACTTAACCACATATTGGGTACAACAGAAGAAATGAACAGCACACTTAAAATCAAGTCAGTAGAAATTACCCAAATTGAAACACAGAGAGAAAAGGGACTAAACAGAACATTAGTTATTTGTAGGCTAACACAAAATGATCTGACATGCATGTAAGTGTAGTCCCAAAAGGAGAGAAGAGAGAAAAGCAGATATTTTTAAAATACATAAATATAGGGGAGTCTGGGTGGCTCAGTTGG